CAACGGACATCGTAGATCTGACGAAACAGTTTCTGGGGATCCAGGACAAAGAGTGCTGGCTGGAACTGCCAACCTCGGGCACGTGTCCTCATGTGTGTGGTCACCTCCAGATGTGGTACAGCGAGAACAATCGATTGATGGGGGTCAAGCTGGGATTCCTGAAGCAATTGCTGACAGTGCTTGACTGACCCGGAAGATGCTGCCCGTTCCCCGGGTGGGTCTGGATGGTGTGCCATGGAACCCCGTGTGGAGTTTTAGCCTCGAGCCGTGAATCTTGAACTCTCTGCCACGCTGAAGTACAGCACATAAAGCATGTGATTCTGTTTGCCCTGACAGTGTGCACTCTTGGCCACAGCAGCGGCACAGTTTGGAATGAGCAAATAGAATCGCCCCAAAAGGCGAACTGTAAAAGCTCTCTGCAATCACACGAGGAGGGCATGCCAACCGAGATACTTTTCAAAGAAGAGGATCATGGGGGGAAAAAAAAAGACGACTAAGAATTTTTAAAATCAAGTGCAGATGTTTGTTTTCCAGTTTGCTAGAGAGGAGGGCTAAACATGATATCTGTAAGAAATGTCTCTCTTTAGGCCCAAGGGAGATTTTCATTAAAGCTGTGCAAAAGGCTTCCCCTTCACTAATTCACACAAGCGTATTTCTTAAACAGTGAATTTTCCCCCTTTCTTCCAACACTCAGCAGCGTTGATTTGCTGACAAATCAGTGGTGATCTGAGGGAGTGTGGTCAGCCCTTCTTCTCCCCTGAGGACTCTGGAGATGCCAACAGATGGAAGCCATTTTGACTAAACTATGGCCATGAGGTTGCTAGGTTGTTTGGTCCACCCTGGGTCATGCAGATGCTCGGTCCATCTTGTCTACGCAACATGCGTTAGTGAGTGTGTGATGATGATTTGTGACTCTCCCTCGAGAGAGCTCTCCTATTTATAAGCTTGAGAACTCTCCTATTTAAAAGCCTTTGCTATGACGTGTCCATTCATGCTTCATTGTCATTTACACCCACACCACTCTGTTGGCCTCTGATGACTTGACAAGTGTGGTCCAGAATGTAAGTCAAGAATTGACTCCCTTTGTAGACAAAGTCAGGCTCTGAGAAATCTATTAGCCAAACCACAATGTTCTATTATTGTTTTTTGTTTTGTTTGTTGTTTTTAAAAAGCAGGGTTTCTCTGTGCAGCCCTGGCTATCCTGGAACATTTTCTGTAGACCAGGCTGGCCTCAAACTCAGAGAGCCACCTGCCTCTGCCTCCTGAGTGCTGGGATTAAAGGCGTGTACCACCACCATCCAGCGACAATGTTCTTGACAGTGAGGCTGCCATACACTTTGACGTGAACTCCCTTGACTGATGCAGGCTGGTAGCCATTGCAGTCTGTCGTCTGTCTGCAGACCACCCTTTGAGACACACTGACATATTCATGACATCACTTAATCCATCTTCATAGTCCAGAAACATCTTCAGTTATCAATCTGTCTTGACACTCGGAAAGAAAAGTTTGTGTTGCAAAAATTTGGATCTGTAAAAAGATACAATAACTGATATGTAGAACTGAATGGTATTGTAATTGTAAAAAAAAAATAAGAAAGTAAAACACAAAATTGGAGCCACATAACTTTCACAATCTTCAGTTTGTTCTGAAATTAATTGTTATCATATTCAACAGGAAAAAAAAAAAGATACAATAATACAAAGAACACCGCTGTGCCTTCCAGCTTGGTCCCTTTCAAGTTCTGCCTATGGTGTACTTGCTACTAACAGGTCCATTCATGATCATGTGATCTAGATTCCCCATCTCCACCTTTCTCAAGACGTTGTGCTCCCAACCCTCATGAGGACTTCATTACAGATGATCTCAGGATTTTCCCTATGCTGCCTCATATACTTTTTTTGGCAAAAAATGTTACAGTAGTGATGCTGTGATCTCCTCACTGCCCCCCTTACCAAGTGGCCCTTGATGTGAATTTGTCCCAGTGCTTGTGGTAGTGACTCAATTGAGACAGTGTTTGTCCCCATTTTTAAAAGTTACTTTGAAAAATGTAATTAGTGTTATATAAATATTACATTACTGGGTCTACAGTCACCTATTGTGAGTGGTGTGTGTGTGTGTGTGTGTGTGTGTGTGTGCATGCACATGCATGTGTGTGTGTGAAAACTGGAGCTCCATGTTGAGAGTCTTTCTCATTTGCTCTCCCCTTTATTCCTTGAGACAGGGTCTCTCACTGAAGCTGGAGCTTGCCAGTTCAGTTAGACTGGTTTGTCAGTAAGCCTCTGGGGTCCTCTTGTCTGTACCTCTCAGCTCTGGGATTAGAGGTGTCCACTGCCCCACTTGCCTTTTTACATGGCTCTGTGGATCAATCTCAGGTCTTCCCATCCTCATGGCACTTCATTGACAGTCACCCCCTTCAGTCCTATCTTACTGTTTTAACTCCAGTGTAGCTTCTGGGTGGCGTTTTTTGCCAAGATGTTTACCAAAGGGTAATTTTCTAATTGTACCACTTCGCTCCCTGCATATGTAACAGCTGGCATTTCCATGGAAGGACAAACCGTCTCATCTCTCATTTGAAAACTCATTTATAAGTCATTCATTATTCAATGGGTTATAATCCTTTATTGCTGTTAATTACTTTGATGATCAAGTTGAGCTAGATTTTGACAGAGTCCCAAGCATGTGACTATGGTGATGTTCTTTCAATATGTGGCACTCTCTCTCTCTCTCTCTCTCTCTCTCTCTGTGTGTGTGTGTGTGTGTGTGTGTGTGTGTGTACACACATGCACGAGCGAGCATGCATGCATGCATGCATGAGGAGGTGTTAGGATTGAACCCAAGGCCTTTACACATACTAGTCAGGTATCACACCACTGAGCTACATTCAGCCCTTTCAGCAACTTCTCCACCAATTGTCTTAAGATACCTGACACCTTTCCTACCCTAATTCTGGGTCAGCCAGTCCTCTCGGGGCTTTGTTTTCATCTCATGGAGGTAGATGTTTAGAAGCCATGATCTGGGTGTTGTGATCCCCCTTGCTGCTGCTCCTAGGTCCTCTCTGTGGACAGTGCTTTTAGTCACACACACACACACACACACACACACACACACACGCACACGCACACGCACACGCACACGCACACGCACACACACACACACACACACCCGTATGTATGTACACATGCCTTTGTATCTACACTTCTGTCTCCATTTATCTGGGTCCTGTCGTCCTTCATTTGTTTGCTCACTGCCCTGTATACACCTGTTCCCTTGACTGCATGGTGCTGCCTCTTGCCCTGATCAGTTGACACTGTCCTTGAGCGGGACTCATTGCCAGCTGAGGCCCCCCCCCCCCAGTCCCTGCTTTTGCTCCTTCTTCGCTCTGGCTGCTCTCACACATGCACTTTGCCTGCCCAGTGCCTGTGAGGCTGAATCAGGACAGAGAGGAAGTAAGCTAACGTGCCTTTTCTTAATTAGAAGGGAAAGCAGGCAATGGCTAAATCAGGATTGCTCACAAGGCTCCCCTTGTGTTCAGCCCTGCAGTTTAGCATTGGAACTGGAAGGCAGACAGCCCAGCTACCTGGATGACACTACGGTTGAAATAAAGTGATCTTAAGTCCTCTAAGTCTACTTTAGGACTGTGATCATGGCCAGGAGGGTGGGAGGAGGTGGTGTTTATGCATTCTGCAGTGTATTTTGGCCCTGGCTCTAATAGCAGGAACGGGGTGCCAGCGCTGGTTTTAACATCGCTGAGTCAGCAGAACGCTTGTCAACTGGTCTAGACACGCATTGTGCCTAATGAAATGAGAAGAAGAAACAATTGATTTTTTCAGCTGTTCCAAGAGATTGCACTCATCCTGACAGGATAGTCTTGCATGACGGTAGTTCTTCCCTCTCAAATGAAGCCCTCTACCACACACACTAAGACATATAAAGGGGGGCTCCCACATCGGGATGCATTAGTGTCAGCCCATCCATCATGTTTATGGGGGACCATGTTCTGTGGCCACCAGCAGATCAGAGCAAAATAACCATCAGGGAAAGTGGTAGTTGTGTGGCTGCTTCTACATCTTCTGGGCACCCATTGACTGTGTAGACACCCTACTGAAACCCACACCCCGGATCCAAGTGCTGGCAGGCAGCACAACACAGAAGAAAACAGGACATTGAGAGACCTGTGCTTTGGCCTCTTTCGATACCAACACTAAACAATTAAGTGCGTCCCCCTTTTTAGGCTTAAATGTTACTCTGGTGAGCTCCCATTTCCTGCCAAACCCTTCTGGGTTAAGTGTGAGCTCCCAAGGGCTGGTGACAAAATGGTAGACCTTTGTAGTCACACACAGCCAGTTACAAGTAGGAGCTGACTACTGATGGATGACTCCAGGCTTTCCCAGCTAGACTGTGAGCTGTTAACAGTGAGCAAGGGTTTGTGTCTATTTCTCTACAATGTTGCAGTCACTTTTACTCAATATACACGGGACTCAAACTGCTAGCTACTACAACCCTTCTGTATATCACCTTCTCTCCTTCCATACCTCTTTGCCTCCTTACCTGCCTCACAGGTTGGCTGGTGCTGATGCAAGAATGATCCTCATCTATGTGTGCAAAGGGCCTTGCTGCGGAGCTGCATTACTTTAATCTCAGCACCGAGAAAAGCCAGACATCCCGGCTCAGGATACAGCCTGGGCATTAGTTCTGGGCTGGCTTCTGCCGTGAAGTTTCGGCTGGACTTTCAGCAGCTCTCCTAACCTGTCTGGTACTCACGCTTTGCATCTGTGAGATGGAAAGTTGGACTTCCTGATCTCTCAGCATCCAGGCTTCTGCAGATGCTTACTCAGGCTGCATAATACACATAATCATAGTATGGTTGCATCCTGACTGACAGTGCAAAGATAGACAAGGAGAACTGGAACTGTGACCTATCATAAAGGAAAGGCCGTCGTCCGCACACTGGAGTTCAGCCTTCTTTTTCACTGTTTGGTGTTGTTTTCTGTGTTTACAGTTACAGAGAGAACAGCAGAAGGCACCAAGAACTGCTGTATCCCTAGCTCAGAGGACAGCGGGAGAAGCCCAGCATCCATTACCTTCTGCCTCCCTTTGAGACCACAGAAGTCCATAATCACCCAAGACATCCTTCCCCAGTGATGGAAGACGGCAGCGGCCAGCAAGCCCCACTACTCTCAGCAACAGCTTCATATTTTAGATTTTGAGTTCTTTTTTAACAAAGTACAGAGTCGTAACATTTATCCTAAAGGGACAATAACCGGATTCCCTCTTCATAGCTGCTTTTCTTTCAGAAATTATTTCCATTCCTGAAATATAGGCAAAGCAATTTCTTGTATTCTTCTTCGTCTCTCTCAATGTAAAAACGGCTGCATTTGTTATAAATGTAAACTATCTAAAATATAGTTTGGAAACTCGTTTTAAAAGAACTGGCATACATGTCTAATAAGCCTTGTGCTGTATTTAAGAAGAAAAGCCAGAATAATAGAGCCGTAAAATTACACACTGTCAAAGGTAGAAAAGACAATAGAGAATATGGAAATCAATGTTTTTTCAATTGCTGTTGGACTTGAAATGGCTTTAATGTGACAACCAGTATTTTATGAATGTAATGGAATAGAAAACACTAGACTATATCATCAGACCTAGTCAAGTTTTGTTTGGTCAAGTTTTGACACACTTAAAATACATCAAAGCTACAGAATTATGTAAACAACTGTGCACAGTAGAGAAGCATATTCATCTATATGAACACGATGATTTATGATTGGTTATTTTGATGTCCTGTTTAATTTAGAAATAGTCCGTGGAAAATGAAAATTGACTGAAAAAAACTATTCAATATTTATTGAGCATCTAAATGTGCAAGCGTCTGTGCAAAAATAATTCACTGAAATATTGATTATTAGGCTCTACAATTATTAAAGGTATTCAGTTTGTAACTTTAAAGCGCTCAGAAAGAAAATACCTAGGCCCAGAACACATTAATGGTGTACTCCATGAAACGTTTAAAAAAGAAATAGCAAAGTTGTTTTTGCATGATTTCCCCTTCCCCCTAAAAAATTAAGAATGGCAGACTTTCATTTCATTTTACGAGGCTAGTATTTACCTGATACCCAAATCAGACCAATAGGACTTATCATTTTATACACCAAAATCCTCAACAAAATACTAGTATCCTGGTTGGTGTTTCATGGCCAACTTGACCCAAGACAGTTATCTGAGAAGAGGGAACTACAACTGAGAAAATGCCTCCACAAGACTGCCCTGTGGGGCATCTTCTTACTTAGTGACTGGGATGGGAGGACCCAGCACACTGTGGATGGCGCTACCCCTGGTCATGCGGTACTGGCTTGTCTAAGACCAGGCTGAGCAAGCTATGGAGAGCAAGCCAACAAGCAGCATTTCCTTATGGCTTCTGCTCCCATTCCTGCCTCCACACTCCCACCTTGAGTTTCTGATCCGATTTCCCTTCACATAGACAGTGATCAGGACTTGTGAGCTGAAACAGACCCTTTCCTCCTCAAGTTGTCTTGGTCATGGTGTTTTATCTCAGCAATATTAAGTCAGACAACTGGCAAGTCAAATCTACCATTATATATATAAAAAAAGCTGGGGATGTGGCTCAGTGGTAGAACACTTACACCTGGGTAGTATGTGTGACACCCTAGCTTTGATCCCTAGCACAAAAGAAAAAAATATGAAAATTACATTCCATAGCCAAATAGGATCAACATTCAAAATTCAGTCACATAATATCATGTGGTGGTATTGTATTCCCCGAAATATTGTGCACCCTAATAAACTTATCTGGGGTCAGAGAACATAACAGCCACAATATTAAACATAGAGGATAGGCAGTGGTAGCACACGCCTTTAATCCTAGCATTCCAGAGGCAGAGATCCATCTGTTCAAGGATGCAGCCAAGCATGGTGACTCACGCCTTTAGTCCCAGAAAGTGAGTCTTTAATCCCAGGGAGTGGTGGTAGAAAGCTCAAAGGTATATAAGGCGTGAGGACCAGAAACTAGAAGCATTTGGCTGGTTAAGCTTTTAGGTTTTGAGCAGCACAGTTCAGCTGAGAGCCATTCGGATATGAGGACACAGAGGCTTCCAGTCTGAGGAAACAAGACCAGCTGAGAAGTTGGCCAGGTGAGGTTAGCTGTGGCTTGTTCTGATTTTCTGATCCAGCATTCACCCCAGTAACTGGCCTCAGGTTTGATTTTATTAATAAGAACTTTTAAGATTCATGCTACAATATCAAATTTATGTAGGACGAATATTTGTCAAAAATCCACTCATAAAAAAAAACCCACTCACTCATGATAAAAACAAAAAACAAAAAACAAAAAAACAAAAGCAAAACAACTTTCTCAAACTAGGACCAAAGGAAGTTTTCTTCAACTTGACATTGAGAGCAGCTATATAAAGCCTGTGGTCAACACATTTAAGCAACATGCAAGACTGCTGTCCCTCTAAGACCAAGAACAAAGCAAGAGGAAGCATGTCATCATTCTCATTCAACGAGGTCCCAGGCGTTCTAGCAATCACAGCAAAGAAATGAATGTCACATGGTTTGAAAGGATAGAAACTGAACTTCCATATTTTCAGATGACATAGCTATCTTTGTGGACGATCCAAGCTATCCAAGTCAATACATACATACATAAGACCCTCCTGGACCTAATAAGTGAGTTTAGTATGCTTGTAGGGTTGGTTTTTTTTTTTTTTTTAACTCTTTACTCTTCAGGGGCTGCCACCCATCTGCCAAATAATCACACAGAGACTTCTTTCTTATGAATGACTGGTCTTAGTTTGGCTTATTTCTAGCCAGCTTTTCTTAAATTATCCTGTCTACCTTTTGCCTCTGGGCTTTTGCCTTTCTCTATTTCTGTATATCTTTTCTTTCCTTCTTATTCTGTGGCTGGATGTGTGGCTAAGTGTCTGGCCCCTGGCATCTCCTCGATCCTCCCTCTTATGGTCCTTCTTCTATTTATTCTCTCTGCCTGCCAGCCCCACCTATCCTTTTTCCTGCCTTGCTATTGGCCATTCAGCTCTTTATTAAACCAATCAGATGTTTTAGACAGGCAAAGTAACACAGCTTCACAGACTTAAACAAATGCAACTTAAAATAATGCAACATGGGGTTAGGGAGATGGCTCAGCAGTTAAGAGCACCGGCTGCTCTTCCAGAGGACCCAGGTTCAATTCCCAGCACCCACATGGCAGCTCACCAGTGTCTGTAACTCCAATTCCAGGGAATCCAATACTCTCACATGGACATACACTCAGGCAAAACCACAAATGCACATGAAATAAAAATTAAAATTAAAAAAAAGAATGCAACACATCTTTGCATCATTAAACAAATATTCCGTAGCATAAAAAAACATAACACATCTTAAATCAATATTCCACAACATACTATATTTTATATTTTGTATATACTATATTCTGTATAAATTTCTGTATAACTGCAAATATTCAAAAATTTAAAATAAGAATGAAATTTTATGCCGAGCAGTGGTGGAGCACGCCTTTAATCCCAGCACTCAGGAGGCAGAGGCAGGCGGATCTCTGTGAGTTCGAGGCCAGCCTGGGTTACCAAATGAGTTCCAGGAAAGGTGCAAAGCTACACAGAGAAACCCTGTCTCAGAAAAACAAAAACAAACAAACAAAAAAAGAATGCAATTTTATCCCGGGTGGTGGTGGCGCACACCTCTAATCCCAGTACTCGGGAGGCAGAGCCAGGCAGATCTCTGTGAGTTCAAGGCCAGCCTGGTCTACAGAGCAAGATTCAGGACAGGCACCAAAATTACATGGAGAAACCATGTCAAAAGAAGAAGGAAGAGGAGGAGGAGAATGCAGTTTTATTTAAAGTTACTCAAAATAAACTGAAGAGCTGATATACACAATTTGTATTCTGAAAGGAAAATGGCAAAATGCTGACCAAAGAAATTAAGGAAGCCCAGACAAATAAAACGTACTTTGTGTTCATGGACCAGAAGAATCACCACAGCAAATCTGTCAGTTCTTCCCAAGTTGATTGGTAGATGCAATACAATTTTTATCAGAATCTCAGCATAGTTTTTGTAAGGATAGAACTGTTCTAGGGTTTATATAAAAAAGCACAATAGTTCCTAATAGACTCTCTATAAATATACTGCTATTCTACGGTATTTGTTTGCTCTTTGGGGACAAAGATGCAAACACAGCTCTATGGAGGAAAGACAGCCGTTTCATTACATGGTTCTGAGGCAGGTGGATAGCCACAGTTAATAAGACTCAACCCTACCTCATAAAATTTTCCAACTAACAATAGGTAAACACTTCCTTGTTTTAATGTATTTTATTATTCTTTTTGAAGATTTCATGCATCCATACACTGTATTTTGATCATAGTCACCCTGTGTTCTCCCTTAACTCCTCCCACATCTACCCTCTATTCTCCTACTCCCTCCCAACTTTAAGTTTGTTTTTAAAACAACTCACTGACTCCAATTTGTGCTGGCCACATATTCAAGTGTGGGAGGCCATCCTCTGGCGTATGGTTGATCTACTAGAAGCCCCAATCATGGATCTTATATTTAAATTTAAAATATAAAAAAATGAATTTTTTTCTTTTAAAAAAAATTTATGTGTCTGAGTGTATTGCCTGTGCACCACTTGAATGCCCGGTGTCCAAAGAGGCCAGGGGTGAGCATGGGATCCCTTGGAATTGGAGTTACAGCCAACTGTGAGCTGAGAATTGAACCCAAGATCCTCTGAAAGAGCAGTCAGTGCTTTTAACTGCTGAGCCATCACTCCAGTGTCCCACACTAGAAAACTTCTATAAGAAAACATAGAAGAAAATCTTTAGTCTCTAAACTAGCAGAGTCATTACATTGGCACCAGAAGCATGTATCCATCAATGGGAAAATTGGTACTTTAAACCTTCAGCTCTGAGGAAGTCCATGAAAGGAGGATGAAGAAAGGGTACAGTCTGAGGGAAAACATATTGAAGTAACACATCTGTTCAAAGGGCTAGTACCTACAATATACAAAGAACTCCCATAGTCAACAGTGTAAGAAAAACAGAACAACAAATCAAAAATGGTCAAAATATATGAAGAGACATTTTTTTTCCAAAAAAGATGTACAGATGGTGAATGAGCCCGTGGCAAGATGTTCAGCATAATTTTCCAGTCACGACACATGTGTCAGAAGTACTGCAATAGAAACCGGTCACAGCACCAGATACTGACAAGGATGCAGGAACATTGAATACATTATGGATGGCATTATAAAAAGATACAGTCTGCTCCAGAAAAGTTTGGCAGTTTCTTATAAAAACTAAATACAGGCTACCATCTCACCCAGCAAACTTTGCTTTTGAACACTTGCCCTACAGAATTTTTTTTAAAAAGGTATATTTGCAGATCTACATATGAATGTCTATAACCTCTCTTCATAAGAGCATCAAACCAGAAGTAAATCAAACACTCTTCCACATATTAATGAATAAGCTGGCACATGCATGCGGTGGGATGGTCCTCAACAAAGAGAGAAACCAACTACTAACACATGGAGCGAGTGTGGAGAAATCTACAGGACCACACGCCGAGTAGAAAAGTCCAAGTCCCATGAGTTATACATGGTGCATTACACTTATATTACATTCTTGGAATGACGAAGAAGCGGTGAGCAGTTTGGTAGCGGCCAGGAAATGGATGAGAGAGGATAGGCTTGAAGGGGGAAATGTGGGGAGGCTGTGAAAGACCAGCATGAGAGATCTTTGTGGTGAAAATGTTTTATGTCTACCTTGATTCCTGTCACCAGCTTGGTTATGACTTTGCTTTATGGTTTTGCTGGTGGAGAAAGTAGGAATGTGCTACACAAATGGAGTCTCACTACATCACTTCTTCCAGCTGCATGTGAACCAACAACGACCTCAGAGCAACGGTTTCATTTTGAAAACAGAAACACTATCTCCAGCTGAGTTTCATACAGAAAGGAAAATGGAGTGAAGTATGTACAATTTGGGGGAAAATTAGAGTAACCATTGGTGGATTCTAAATAGCTTCTTGACGCAACATGTCTTTTTCTGTCTACACTCCCTAGAACACGTGGTCCTAATCACAACCTGGTGCCCAGAAACACCCAGAACCTTATGTAATGTTATTAGTATGAAACAGAAACTGCCTTGCCGGGCAATTTAATTTATGAATGTAAATGAAAGTCACTTACGTACAACTCGAAGAAATTCATCTGCGGTTCTGTGAAATAGTCTTGGGAAAGGAGATGATAATTATCC